TGCACACTCTCCCAGCCCCATCAATGGCTGCCCCACCCACCCCAGCTCCCTGCTCTTTAAAAATTTTTTTAAAAAGCCCCAAACTCACTAGCTCCTTCCAGGTGGGGCAGCAATCCCCACTGCCCCACTATGTGTGGTGGGCTCTGTCAAGAGCCCCCATCCCCCACCCACTCTCCCAGACCCAGCTCCTGGCTCTTTAAAAAAAAAAGGCCCCATTCACCGGCTGCTGCCAGGTGGCATGGGGGGGGGGCATCCCTGCTGCCCCTGCTCCCCCATGCTGTGTGGGGGGCTCTGCCACAAGCCCTGCAACCCAGCCCACTCTCCCAGACCACCCATAGCTGCCCTGCCTGGCCCCAGCTCCCGCACTGGCCCCCACTGCCCTGCACTGTGTGTGGGGGCTCTGCCATGAGCCCCCAGAAGCCCTGACAGCTGCTGCAGCAGCTGGTGAGTAGGGGCTTTTTTTTTTTAAAGAACTGGGAGCTGGGGCGGGTGGGGCAGCCATCGGGGGAGCTGGGAGAACGGGCAAGGGAAGGGGACTCATGGCACAGCGCCCCACACAGCATGGGGCAGTGGGGATCACCCACCCCCCACCTGGCAGGAGCCAGTGAGTGGGGTTTTGTTGTTGTTGGGTTTTTTTTAATAGAGCCAGGAGCTGGGGCCAGATGGGGCAGCCATGGGAGGGGCTTGGAGGGTGGGCAGGGGTTGGGCAGCACTCTGGGGGGCTGAGGGAGCAGGCAGGGGATGGAGTCTGGCAGGGGTCCCCCCACAGTACCCTCGTCCAGCTCCTACTCACCAACATGGAGTCCGGGTCCAGCTCCCTGTGGCAGAGAGCAGGGACAGCCCAAATCTGCAAAGCTCTCCAAATCTTTTCTGAATTGATTCAGAGAGCTTTGAATTGATTCAGACCTTTTTATTCGTCTCCTGATTCGACTCGGATTTGGAGATTTGGCCACCGAATTGGGCCGAATCTCCTCTGAATCGAATCAGCACCCAAAGCTTCACACGAGCCACCTGCAGTCTTTGCCAAGCTCCAGCCAGGAAGCAGAGGAGAGGGGCCAGCCCTGCTGTGGAGCAGAGAGCCCTGCCCAGCCCAGAGAGCATGCTGGGATGCTGGGGGAGTCTGGTTTAACTTAAACCAGCAAGGGGTCTGGGACAGACATTGCATAAACCAGTTTAACCCAGATCAGTTAAGTCTGATACTACATTCAACCAGGTTTGTCTCAAACCGGTTTTAACCATTTTCAAACTGGTTTATGTGTGCTAAACATCTGTTCTGTTAGTTTCTGATCACTTAAACTAGTTTATGTGTAATGTCTGTTCCTAGTCACAGGGTTGAAGAGGTGCTGGTCTCTTATGAGCAAGAGAACTGTATGGCAAGACCACTGCTCCTTCTTTCATTTAATTCCTATTTCATTTATGCTCTGTACAGAGGGCTCTTTACCCGTAAGTCCAAGGCCTCCAACGTTATATAAATAAATTTAGGTCTCATAGATTTCAGATAAACACTAACTGAGCTGAGAGAATGCCATATTGTTCCACTTATAAGTTGACTCTGCATATAAATAACCCCATATTTTCAGGTTCAATATAATGAAAAAGAGCTTTTCCTGAATATAAATCAATAACTACAGGTAAAAACCTTGAATTGCTATTCCCCTTACAAAACCCAACAGGAGAATTAATCAACCAAGGAAAAGACTCAAAAGGCTAACTGTACTAAAAATACTGAAATAAAAATACCACTCAAAAGCAAAAAAAAAAAAAAAAAGCTCACTTTGCATGTTTATTCCAAGCATAAAAATACTACAGGTATAAAAGTCAAGACTCTAATAGGTCTGATTATAGGTTGACCCCACATAAGTCAGGTGTGATTTTCATAGTTCTTTGGAGAAAAAAGTAGAGTTATGGCCAGAATAACACAGTACATGTGAACTTTAACAACAACATTATATATCTAGAACTACTGAACAGGTGTTGAATTCAGTTTTTTTTCACTTTTAAGTTATGGCTGAGAGTTTCAAAGCTGCCAAAAGGATCTGAACACTGAACCCCATTAATTTTATTAGGAATGAGGTGTTCATATCAATGTAAGCAGTGTCTCAGTTTAGTTATGCTTGATCTTTGCCTGTCCATTCTTTTTCTCCCTCCCTCCTCTTCATGTGTTTCCTGCTGCTCGCAATCCCAGTTCCCAACCTTGTCAGTCAGATGCACTTAAATCCAGACTACACCAGAAGCCTTTCCTAACAGTGAGTTCAGCAGAGCTTTGCAAACATTCATGTTGCACAGCACTGACCAGTGAAAACTCACCCTAAAAGAAGCAGACCTGTCAGACTCCTTGGCTCTGAGAAATTTCTGAACAACGCATATAATACATAGGTTATACTGGTACTTACGTGGCATCCACCCGCTCAACTCCTCTGTAATAACTGATGCCATCAGAAGTGTTCCTTAAATGATGACATTTATCATCGATCCGGTGAGCTGTCTGCTTATCGGCAAGGTCTTTCTCCAGCTCGTGCTGGGCTGCCCTGTCAGATCTGGGAGACGATGAAAACAATTATTAGAGGATGCATAATATCGAGCATAGCAGGCTGCATCTCTCTCTCTATTTCAAATGCACCTACCACTAAGCTCAGCAATCCTTATGAAAAGCATCACATTTTCCAAGGGGCCTACATCAACTTGTTCAGCGACTAGACCATATTTAAACAAAATAGCTGAAACAACTTTTCAATGTGGAAGACATTCCTCTCCCCTGAAGCTACATTTGGAAGAGGGGGTAACTGTGGTGTTTACATCAGAAATTAAAATACAATTCAGCTGTGAGAAGTGGAGACAAAGTTCTTCCTTACGCAAGCTGCGCTATCGCCTTATCCAGGTGGCGCCTCATCCTCTCCTGACATGATTTGATGACGTCAACTTCCTGGTCAACGACAAAATCAGAATTCCATCAATGTCTGCACTTATTAATTCTGACATCACTCGTTACAATGAGAGCATCCTCACACACCTGCCCAAGTGCTGGGTCTAGGTAAGCACTGAGCAGCAGTAAGTTGGTGCTGGGTACCTGCTACTCTCTACGTCCCAAGCAAGTGTATAGAGAATGGACACAGAGCAGAAAGAGCTTGGCTTTTCCTCTGCAACACTCAGGCCAGTGCAGAGCCAGCACAATGTGTGTGGGGAGGAAGAGGAGGAGTAGCATGTACTTTGTTACCACAAACTGCAGGTCCTATTCCTGACTCTGGCACTGACTTGTTGTGGGAATGCAGGTGAGTCACACGTTGGAGGTAGCAACACATTTCTACATCCCTGGAGCAAGCTGAGAGTAAGAAGGAACAATTCCACGCTTGGGCTACTTCTTGAGGAGGGAAGCTATGTACTAGGGGTGTACAAAGCAGGCCCTGTTCAATTCAGATTCAGATTTGGTCCGAAGCAGGGACAGTGATTCGATTAGTTGATTTGGATCACTGTCCCTGATTTGATTCGGCTGAATCTAAATCTGAAGATTTGACGCTGATTCGGAGATTTGGACATAGACACAGCTTTAAATGTTTTTTCTACATACCTCAAGGTACCAGCGTGGCTTGTGAACACTGCGATGCTGGGGTGAACGGAGCATCCCACAGGAGTGGGGGAGGCCTCCATGTGCTTTCGGTCCACTTCCAGGTCCACCAGGGAGCGTGCTGGGGAGCTCCCCAGCACCCCCCCCAGCTTGTCAATCAGATGCAGGGGGACCCCAGGTGCCCCCCCAGACCCAAGAGGCACCAGTTGCTGAGGCGGGGGGGGGAGGGGGCAGCATGCTCCCCAGTGGACCAGGAAGTGGACAGGAAGTGCTTCTGGCCCACTTCTGGGTCTGCTGCTGAGCACAGTGGGGAGCCCCCCATGCTTCTGTGGGATGCTTCATGTGCCACACCATCGCAGTGTTGACAAGTCGCCTGCTACCTAGAGGTATGTAGAAAGAACATTTGAAGCTGTGTTTATGTCCAAATTGCCAAATCTTTCTGAATCTCTCTGAATTGATTCAGAAGGCTCTGATTTGATTCAGAGAGATTCAAGGGTCCTCTGATTAGATTCAGATTCAGAGATTCGGCCACCGAATCAAATCAGGGACCGAAGCTTCACACAGCCCTACTATGTACTAACTGCTCCCGATTCCGGTCAGATTATCAGGGCACAATCTTGACCCATCTGAAAGGCCTTTGTTCATACTTATACAATGATACAAGCACCATACCATACACATGCATGGGTGCTGCCCATTTGAGCAGCCTATAACACTTTGCAAGCTGTCATATCTCTAGAATGTGGCATATGCCAGCTGCCAATATGTTTGTAGGGTTTGAGGTTCCCAATCCTACTACTGGTATATGCCAGCTGAACTCCTCAAAAGGAGTGTCACAATATTCTCTCCATCATGTAGTTTGAATTCAGTGGTAATTCAGTGGAAAAAAAAACTTGTTTGCAGCCACCATGCCCTACTCACTACAATTACTCTCATTTTTACTAGACTACTTTTCTTGGATGCGTGCCATTTATGAAGCGCCACACCCACACATGACAAGGATTGCTAGTGCTATGATGACAGAAGAAGCATTCTCCGATGTTTCTAGCTGAACATACCACAGTGTGACAGGGTTATTCATAGACTGATATCACAAAAGTATTTTCTTTGAAGTCACACATCCATCACTACAACAAGCGTAATGGCATTAGCATCAACTTTCACTGCCTGAACACAGGATTGTCAAATGTGCTGTTCATGCTGACGGCCATGTGAACGCCAGTTCTATTCCAAAGTATGTAAGCAGGTAGATTATGATCCAGTGTAAATGTATGTAGGTCCTATGTTGATCAATGGATCTACATAGATTTACACCAATGAGATATATACTGTAGCCATAGGACTAACCTGGATTATTTTTTCGCTTGGATTGAGAGAAATCTTTCCAGATCTATAATGAAGGCTTTAACTCTTGTGAAAGGAGAACAGTACTGCATTATCAGTTCTCAGGGTTTTATTTGGAGTCCTATGGCATTTTGTGGAAGCCCCAGCCCTCCAAGGTATGTGATTAGATTCTCAAATAGAATATAAGTTTTGAGCCATCACAGTTGCAGAGAAAAACTGGAAAATATGACTCAAGTGCACCCAACACACTAAAAAAAACCCCCAACAAAACAAAGCAAAACAAAAGGTCAATTAAAAGGAACACAACATAAAATTTTTAAAATAAAATCTCATGACCTTGAAGCCAGTTTCCTAATTTTCATGGGCCTGACTCAAGAGAAGAAAAATCCGTTACATGATCCATTTGCACAGAGTCCTAAGGGATGCAGTTTCCTTTTCAGTTTCACAAGGCCTCATGTGTAGATTTAAACTGGATATCAGGAAAAACTTCTTCACTGTTAAAGCAGTGAGGCAATAGAACAGACCACCTGGTGAAACTGTTGAATTGTTTTCATTAGATGGTTTCAAAAAGAGGTTGGATAAGTATTGGTCAGGGATGATCTAGGGGTAGCTGTACCTATGCTCTTCTATAGGTATTGTCCATGCTTCTGGGCTTTGCTAGTTGCTACATGGGGCCAGGAAGGATATTTCCCCCTTTCCTGTTACTACACATGCTGGGAGTGGGTTCATTGTCTTCCTCGGAAGCATGGGCGTTTGCCACAGGTAAGGCTGGGGTTTGCCAATATTCCTGCTGGGACTAAAAACCCAGAGGTTCCTGGTTAGATGGTCTTGCTTCTCTACTCAGGGTCAGACTGATAGCCATATTACAGTTAGGAAGGAATTTACCACGTGGTCAGATTGGTCCAGACTGTAGGGGGGTTTACATTCCTCTGTAGCAGGTGGTGTGGATCCCTTGAGCATATTTTAACAACCATTGCAGCAGCAGGACATTGGCCACCATTGTTCCTCTGCTTTACCTATGGCAGGTTAGGGTGTTATGCCCTGCAGTTGTATGTCAATGCTGACTGTGTAGTTTTACTAATAGGTTAGATAAGGATTTGTATAGGATGGTTTGGATAGGATAATCCTACCTCTGGCATGGGATTGCACTAGATGACCTCTGGAGGTCCTTCTGAGCTATACTTTTCTATGATTCTAAGTGGTGACTGTACTGCACTGTACCCCCAGTTTAGGATCCCACCTCCATTGCCAATCATTATGTCATTTGTTCTTGACACATAAATATAATATAAAGTAATTGCTGGTACAATGAGTCCAAAGGGCCATGTTTGTTAACCACACACAACCAGGGATCCTGGGATTTTCTGTTTAAAAATCCCAAATTCTCCGATTAAAAAAATCCCAAAATCTGTGATTAAAAATCCAAAATCAATGTTTTTCCACAATTAAAATGAAATGCCACTATCTATCTATCTATCTATCTATCTATCTATCTATCTATCTATCAGTTGAACACAATGTTTTATCAATACCATTTTAAAGTAATTTGGAAGCCTACCAGTGCCTCAATCATTATAATAAAATACATTCTAAATACCCATATAGTTTGGCATTTGATTTTGGTTTTTTTTTAATCATGAAAAATCAGAGCTCCCCCTGCCCACCTTGCTCAGCAGGTACATCCAGCTGTGGCTGTCCTGCCCCTGGTACTTTGTGGCACTGAGCAGCTCTTATATGTTGGTGTCCTGGTTCTGCCCATGCTGTTGCCTCTCACTCCCAACCCACAGACCCACCCCCCAGGTCCCCCAGCCTTCCTGGTGCCCTTCATTCCCAGCCTGCAGCTCCCCAACCCTGCTGGTGCCCCTCACTCCCAACTCACAGCCCCCAGATGCCGCACACCCCAGCCAGACCTGCATGGACTTACAGAACTTCAGCACAGGAAAGCGATGGAGGTCCTTGGCAGGTCCAGCTGTTGGGGCTACTTCCACTTCCCTGCCTGACTGTATTGCTGGCCACATGTGTGCGCACGCACAAATGCACATGGTGCTCCCTGCCTTCAACCACCCTCTCACCACTCCCCTGAGCCCCAAGTAGCTCCTCATAGGCTGGAACGCTTCCAGCCTGCAAAGGGGAAAATCTGTATTTTCCTCCTTTAAAAGGGGAAATTCGCATTTTTCCACATGTTGCCACAGAAAACAGAAAACTTGGATCCCTGCACATAGCACAAAAGGCCTGGCTCTGGCAGGACTCTGAAACTTAGATGAAATAAGTTCTAATAAGGGGTTCACAAAATATTTTAAAAGATGCTACACAATTTCAATGTATTACAAGAAGACACATAAGAATATAAGGATTTCCATCTACTGAACTAGACCACAGGTCCATCTTGCCTAGTCTCCTGTGTCATACAGCAGCAGAAAGTGGATGCTGAAAGAGAGACGCAGCAATTCAGTGATTAACTTTTCAGTAAGACTCTCTCTCAGTTAGGTATATATTGTTTCCTTAGGATGAGAGAATTCCTCAGACACAATATGTCATTCCACTGAGCTGCATGGTATGTGCCTGTACAAGTTGATAAATATTTAGGAACAAATGACCAATTGGCTTGGCCAACATTTCACTACTGCATGCACTACGGGAACATACTTGGCATTCGTGCTCTCAGTGGCTCAGCAGGGGCTGTGAATAGCATAGAAATAGCTTCTCAGTCACTGGGCCTGGGCCAACTCACACTGATGTCAATGTGAATCTTAACATTTTTAATAACGGAAGTTGGATTCAGTCCCTAGGGCGAAATGCTTTCTCTGTTAAAATCAATGACAAAACACATTGACTTCCCTGCAATGACTTCCCTGAAATGAAAATTTCATCCTTTCAGAGGGATTTTCAAAACAAATACCATTGGCTTCCCTCTGAAGTCAATAGCAAACCTCCCCTATGTGAGTAAAGTCAGGCCAAGTCTTTCTGAAAATCCTATACTTGATGGTCTACTGAGCTGCCCTCAAACAACTGACCAGCAGCAATCATGGAGCAGTGGTATATATGTGTTGCCAAAGACGGATTACCCACATTTCCTGTGACAGATAACTTTTCTCTTCGTGTTATACTACCCTCTTGTGCATTTTCTATTAAACTGACATGTTTCCTAGCCAATGTGGGGAAACTAGCACTCAAGTTTTTTTTTTTAATTTGACCTTAAGGTAGGGACAAAACCTGGGAAGATTTCAGTCCCAAAGATGAACGTTTCAGACAGTTGTCAAGCACTGGGAAAAGTGGGGAGTAAGAGGAATTAATATGTGACCAAACCTAGAGCAATGATGGTAAGCAAGGCAGAGCAGCATTTTATTAACACCAGTTGGTGGTACCTGACCAAGCCATTTGGAGAGGCATAAACTATGAACTGAGCACATCTGCCCTTTCTATCGAACTGATGGACTGTCATTCCTTATGGTATAATTGAATTATCTGTTCTTGTATTTGAAGGAAATTGTCTTGAACTACTGCCTAAATGCCTTTATTAAAATCTTAGTGATACTATGAGCAGGCAGGGACCTACGTAAAGAAGCTTCATCAAATGATTCCATCAGATTTTTAGTTAAAACTTCTTTTTATCCAACATTTTTCCTTGGTGACTGATTATTTTTGTGAATATGTGTAATACAGGAAGCACTCAGTGCTAGAAAAAGAGAGGGAAAGATGGCCCAATACAGCACTCACTGAGTGCAGTGAGAGTTGTTTGATTTCAACAAATCAGGGTTTTTCTTAATTCGTAATTCCTGTGTGTGAGTGTGGGGTGGGGTGGGGATGGGGGGTTGATCCAGTCACAAACATGACGACTCTATTCCTCTAGGCTGGCTCTGTGCTCCAGCTTCCCCTACCTGTAACAGAGAAGTATTATTGCCAGGGACTACTCCTAGAAGTGGCTGCTCCGAAGAGACCTTTTTACAGTAGCTTTCCATCAGGAAATGGACTTCAGGCTAAGTTTTCTTTCTTCAGGAATGTGTATAGAGTTGATTGTTCTCTGGCCTCATCCCCTTTCACTGGGTAAATCCTGACCAAGGAGCCTGAAGAATGGGAGAATGGTTCTGCAAATATAGCTGAGCCCCCCCATTTCACATGGCATGGGCGACTGATGCCTCTTGAGTCGGGGGGGCATATGTCCCCCCAACATCAGTCAGCGGTCGGGGGGAGATCCCCCAGAGGCTGATTGCACTGACAGAGGAGGGGGTCCCCCAGCAGTCAATCTCACTCACCAAAAAGCAGCCACGCCACTTCCGGAAGTCCCGCAGCCACTTCCAGAAGTGGCATGGCTGCTTTTGCTGGCAGCCGTGCTCCCTAGCCAGTGCTCACAGGGGGGGCACCAGCCCTCCCACCTGCCTCCCTGCCCGTCACCTAAACAGGGAGTGTGGCCTGACAGGGGAGGCACCAGCGCTCTCAAGGGGTGCACGTGCACCCCCATACACCTCCTATGCATCGCCACTGCCACATGGAAAAGCTGGTAACTGCATGGAAGGGGTCTCCTCCATGCCTGGGTCTTGTAGGCACAATCTGGACCTTAGTAATTATAGTAGTGGTGTAGTGATGTAGATGTGGTGTTCCAGGGAATGTGTAAGGAGCTAGTATATGTTTGGTAATATATTTTCTTGGACCTACTGCATGGTTGGGAGAGATATTAGACAAGCATTTGGGCACCAGATGCCCTTCTTCAGGTTTGGGAAGGAAGTAAATATAGCCTAAGTCACATACCAGGCAGAACAATTACTTCTGTTTAACCCTGCGCTTAAAAAAGGAAGAGTGCAGTAAACCTATAGAGAAAAAAGACGTTACAGAACCACCCGATCAGACGTAGGCAAAAATTTCACAGAACAACCAATCTCTCTCTGACCTTGCACTCTTTGTACACAAGGGAAACCACATAATGTTTAGAAGATGGGCTTGGGAACAAAATGTCAAGTACTAAAACAATGAACTAAACACAGGCAATGGTTTTATGACTCCTTACAGTTTACCTGCTCCCTCTGCTAACCTTGCAATACTCTACAGAAAATAACAACCCTCTTCCTTTAGGAATGGTGCGAGAGGCAAGGATTTCTTAGGATGATATATTTTATTGGACCAACTATATAGTTGGGATAAAGTTGACAATACTATGAAGTTAAAGACAACTGTTTAACTTAGGCTGTCTTTGTTTCTTTTCCAGACCTGAGGACAGGCATTTTGCATCTAAAATCTTGTTTAATTTTTCTTCTCAACTATATAGTCTGTTCAATAAAAGATACTATATAGCAAATCTTTCTTCTCTCTTAGTAATTACAATTAAAAATGATAGTGACCTTGGTTATGGTTGAAAGCTACTACACATTGGTGTATAGGTCAGAAGCACTGACCTGTCTTTGTAGCTAAGTGCCTTTTTTCCCAGATAAACTTTAGCAAAACTTACCGTTAACAGCTGTTTTTCCACATCATCGTGGACTAGATCAATCCCCATCCTCTTCTCTCTGTGAAGTAAGCATTCTTCAGCTACCTGTCAGTATATAAATACAGCTGTTGATTATAGTCTATAGGAAGAACAATAAAGTTACACCAGACAATTAGAAAGAATTCTAATAGTTTAACATTTGTGTTATTCAAAAATGGATGTTCAGCACACAGCAAGTCTTTGTAAGAACCCTAGTAAAAAACCTAGCCCCCAGTCCTGGGAACTGTACAGACACAGAAGTAAAAGACAGTCCCTCCTTCAGATTAAGTATAAAAAAAACATACAGCAGAAGAAGACACACAGAGAGCTGGATCAGCATAAAGAAACAGAATGCTTTTGAGGAGGCTTTTGATGGAAGATCATTAGTTTTGCAGATGATTTTGGGGAGCTCTTCCCAAGCAGTGGGGACAGAAGCAGGCTGTTTATTTGAAAATTAAACAAATGGGCAATGAAGTCTGGCATCATGGAGTGCTCAGAGACGGAAGCTGACATCTCAACAGCAGTAGTCTTTGCACTTAGAATGGAAACTATCACTCGAATTTTGTTAAAATAGGCCACATCCTGAATTTTTCCTTTGTGATGCATAATTTCCCTTGAGTATAGCTAGAAAATGTCATAGGCGGGAAAACAGCCATCTTCTGAAACACATGAACCATAGCAAAACAGAAGCTACAGGCCAATATTTTGCCCACAGGAAATAATTAGTTTATAACATCAAAGCAATCAAAACATAAAGGAGCACACATAACCTTGGTGTGACACCAACTGAATTTGGTGAAGCTATACTGGGCATAAATTTGACTTTATGCGAGCCTAGCAAGAAGATATTGGCAATTGTTTCCTTAACTAGGATTTTGGATTAGCACATGAGAAAATATTTAGTTAAGTAAATACTATTCTGGTGTGCTCAACATGTACTGGATAGGAAACGTATCGTATGGCAAAGGCTTGTTTACTTCCAACTCAGCTAACAGCTTCTTAATAAAAAACTTTTGAGACATAACGGAGTTGTAGTGAAACTTAATTAGATATCTGAATAGCAGCAGATGGGGAACTGACAGGCTGTAGCATACCACAGCATTTATCCATGAAACTGATACTCACCTGGAGGGGGCCTTCTGTTTCAGCCAAAGCTCTTTCCAATCGTTTCTTCATGTCTGTAAGAGCATTGGTTTCTCCAATCATCTCATCTATCTCATGGTTGAGTTCTGATTTCCAAAATATTATATCGTTGACCCGTTCTCCCAGATTCTTGGTAATTTCTGATTGGGTTTTCCTGGTTTGCTGCTCTCTGTCTTGGATCATCCGGGAGGTGTCCACTCTGAGCCTCTCAGCACTGTGCCGGGAAGTCTCTGAATCTTTGTAATTGGTCAGGTTGGACTTGTACCAGTCATCTGGGGTATACCTAGTGAAAAGGGCTGTTCTATTGGAAACAAAAGGAAGCATCTTGCTTTGGGTTAACCCTTGGGAACCTTTGGAGAATGGAGCCAAAGTTGGAGTGATGGCTGCTACTTTATAATATGTGCTGGGTCTCCAAGGCAGGCTCAGGCTATGGGTTAAGGAGTAGTGCGGAAAGTGGTTTTTATAGCTTGATGCCATGGTGCTGATAGCTGGTAGGAAGTTAGTCGGTGTTGGTTTTGGATGGGCATAAGTTGCCATTAAAGTAGAACCTACAAACTCCATGATGAAAAGTATTATTCAGTTATGTGTCCTGCAGAAACAAAGATAAGAAAACTATAAACAGTCTCTTAGCAAGGCTTGCTTAGAAGTAATAACATATCTTCTAAACCGTATGTTGCACACCATACTTATGCATCAAAAATACAGGCTTAAAACTGTAAAAAGCAATCCCTATTTCACACTATTCCAACTATTTTAATGCAGAAAGATTCAAGCTACCTAGTTATGATCTCTTGGCATGCCTTGAACTGTAGCAAATTATGGCTGCCAATGAGAATGACACATTTTATATCTGAATTCTGCTCTATTTTGCCCACTCAACGTTACTTTGTGGATTCTGCATCAACATTTTGTTGTTTTTTGCAATAGTGTAACTACGGGGAGTAAGCAGGGCACCAGCCTTGGGTACCGACTTCAAGGGGCACCAGACTGCCACCTTCTCGGAGTCTTTGCTGTGGCAGGAGCAGCCTTGAACTATCGAGCAATAGGAAAAGGGGGGGTTAGCTCTACACCCAATACTATACTTGGGTTGGACGGGGGTGCTATGTGGGGTGAGTGGAATGGCACCCCCTGGAAAGTCTTTACCATGGCAGGTGAAGCCCTGTGTCTACTAGTGTTGGATGGGGGAAGGGAGGAAAGGAGCAAACAGGGCACCAAGGGCAGTTTCCAAGGAGCTTATGCCACAGGGCTGTTGCAGCCAGTGCACAACAAGCCTGTCCCCCAGCTGCAGCAGCCCAGATCCAGGCAGCTATAGCAGCAGCTACAGTAATAGTAGTTTGCTGCCCAAATGCAGAGAGCTGGGATGGATAAGACTCCACTCCCTCTCTCCCTCCTCCCTCTCCCACTTCCCAGTGGTCAGCATAATCTCCTGCTTCCCTGTGTGCTGAAGGAGTGAAATGTGCCTCTGGCATTTGGCTAACCTGTCTATGCACTGATCTTGTAACTGTTGAGTAGGTTATTAAGACTGTGTTACCTTCCCCTGTTCCTACAGCTACAGTCTCTTATTTATGTCTGTGTACAGAGCATGCAAAGAGTGTATGAAATGGTCTCCTTCTGGTTTCCTTTACTGGTTAGCTAACACATGCTATAAATATATTTTTCAGGGTGATCCTTTAATTATTAGCTTGTATTTCCATATTTCTTTTATGTTTATGACTAAAAAGTGTTTGTACGAGTTGCTCTTTTGGGTTGTACAAATCTATTCAAAACAAGGGGCAGGCTGTATCATGACTGTTTTAGCAAAACTCCTGACTGAACTGCTTAAAATTGAAGGGACTATGACCTTCCAGTGCTTACTATTACCCACATGGCAAAATTAAGAGAAGTGCAGAAGCAAATGCTTCATTTTATCCTCATAATAGAGATGATATCTTTTATTAGACCAACAAGATTTTTGCAAAAAAAATGTCTTTAATTGCAACCTTTTGAGCACAAACACCCTTCATCAGGCATTGGAGAAAACACTGTACAAGTTCTTCTGGGTAGAAATGAAAGTTCATATTTCATAGGCTTTCACAGAGGAGTCAATAGATGGAAAACTCCTCTGGGCAGTCAGTTCATGGCTGGTATGGAGTCTCTCCCCTCTTGTGAGGGTCTGTGATGATGCAAAGTACCTTGAAACATTTTATTCTGTTTCACCAGCAGTGAGTGAATCCTTGCTACTACTCTTGTTGTTGTTGCTGGAGTTCTTGGTGTTGTTACTACTACTACTTTGTGTTGCAGTAGCGCTTTGAAGCCCAAGTCATGGTCCACAACCTGATTGTGCTAGATGCTGTCCAAACTCTGAGCAACAAGACAATGCTGGCCCCAGTTACAATTCAAACACAATTCAAGAGATGGTTAGAGGATACAGTCCCATAGACAGTGAACACAAGCATTAAAAACAACACTTAACCCTCCACCTAAGTGTTTAGAAGACTAAAGCCTAAGAGAAAGTTCTGCCAGAAAGAACACAGCTTAATTTTCATACCCTAAACATGAAGTTGGCAAGGTGGAACAGAACAAACACCCTGCTTTGACTTGTAACTGGGTAAACAGTCGTATAAAAGTGACTGACAACATATATATACACTTGAAAAATTATCTCTTAGTGTCAGCCCTTCCACAAAAGTATTTGACTATAATAGCACTTTCAAAGTTATTTGTGTAAAGTTATCCTCATCATCACCCGGGAGCAAATGACCACACAGGAAGAGTTTTGCTTCAAGTAACTGCATACTCTTCTGTGTGGGCTATTATTCTTTTCTGCTTTGAGGTCATTAGCTAATTGTGTGTCAGAAATATAATACTCGGGGCAATCAAACGTAAATATTTGGTTGTGCATAATGTGCATAATCCATTAACAAGCACACAGAAGATTATGCTGCATTGATGGTGTGTTCTCTGTTGTGAGGATAAGAAGTTCTCTTATGGTTCTAAAAATAGATTGCTAGTAAAATGAGGAAATTTAATATGCATTAGAGAAATTGTAACAGCCCTTATAGTCAAATGTCAAAGGATGTGCAATATCATTTACAAAGCCTGCTTTCTCATGGGATCAAGATAGGTAATATGTAGGGCTGTGCGAAGCTTCGGGTGGTGATTTGATTTGGAGGAGATTCCCCCCACACAGCATGGGGTGAGGGGGGGCAGCGGGGATCGCCCCCTGCCCAGCAGCACCTGCTGAGTCGGGGCTTTTTTTTCCCCATGTGCCGGGAGCTGGGGCAGGCAGGGCAGCCATTGCCGGGATGGGAGAGCAGGCAGGGGATGGGCCTGGCCTGGCTGATTCGGAGATTCGGCTGCTGCTGCATCTCCAAATCAGATTCAGCTGAATCAAATCAGGACAGTGATTCAAATCACCGAATTGGCCGAATCTGAATCCAAAGCGAATACTAGCTGCTTTGCACAGGCCTAGTAATATGTTTTCAAATAAGTGTACCTTTTAATTTAAAAGTAAAGCAACTACATGTTACGTTGATCCAATATTCATATTTTATAAAAACAGCAATACATTGTCATGTATTATTTTTATTGCCAGAGTGCTTCAGAGCACCAACCACATTTTGGCACTCCTTTCTCCTGGCCACCATACACACACAAAACAAAAAGGCAGCTACTGCCCTCAAAAGTTAACAATATAATAATGGTAATAAAATAATTATGGCCTCACTTCTGGAAAAGATGCTTAATTGGGAATGGTACTTGATGACTGTGAAAGCTTGGCTGGGCCTATACATGAAATACCAGTTTAAAATAACAGTGCCTCTTGCACAAAAATGCAAGACAGTGACTGGGGCAAGACTGGGTTGTGCTGACAAGTCTGCCACAAAGAAAATCAAACTCTGCTAATGGCTGCAACCCATTAGGTGCAGAGAAAGTGGAGCTTGCAGTATCCAGTACCAGACCTATGACATAAGAGGATAACAGTCATGATAACAGTCCTTAACCTTCTACCACACCCAAGTGTAAAAAATAAAAGTGATGGTTAAAATTATTAGCAGAGGTCTAGCACGCTCATTACATGTATATAGCACGACTCAGAGAGCAAGCTAGAAAGTCAAATGGCCTAGGGAGAAAACTACAAACTAGAAAACTACAAACTACATATACATCTCAATTGAGCTAAGTGTCACTAACAGAAACAAAAGAATTAAAATATCCACTTCAAAGCAATCAGGACTCGTGGTAGAGGTGATGATATCTTTGATTAGACCAACTAGATCAGGGACGAGCAATTATTTTGGGCAGAGGGCTGCTTACTGAGTTTTGACAAGCCATCGAGGGCCGCATGACAGGCAGCCCAGGGCAGATAAATATTAATTTGCTAAATTTTTTAGGGGCCCCACGGGCCAGACAGAATGGCCTGGCAGGCTGCATCCGACCCCTGGGCTGCATTTTGCCTACCCCTGAACTAGATGATTGCTTTTTCCTGTAGACCAGAGGTTCTCAAACTGTGGTCTGCAGACCACCACTGGTTCACGAGCTCCATTCAGGCGGTCCACAGAAAGGTTGTGGAACAATCGAGAATATTGTACTTGTAAGGTAAGACTACTGATATTAAAATATGCGTTGTGCCCTTTGATTTGTAGAACAAAAAAAAAGTTTACTAAGGGGTTTGCGGAGACCCTCAGTAATTTTCAAGTGGTCCGCGAAAAAAGAAGTTTGAGAACCACTGCTCTAGACCAATACGTCTACAACCTGGATACCTGACACTTCAGAGCAAAGCCTGTAAGAGCCGAGGAGCCAAAGTGCACTGAAAACATGACCGTAAAATACATCCTGGTTAACACATTCCCCCTTTGACTAACACCTATTTTCCAAAGCAAACGTCTGTCTAAAGTTTTACAAATGTCTAAATGTTTATTATGCTACATCAGTGTATTCTCCTGAAACTCCCACCTATTGTATCCAGTGGCCTCTGATCTTCACTATCTCCATTTACACTTTAACTGACCTGCTTTGGTCTAATAAAAGGCATCGCATGTACCCAAAGAACCTTGTAACATCTTCCCTTAATCAAGGCATATCTCTCAAAGCAGGCATTCAATGTCTGTCAGATATCTCCACAAGCCATTTGATACAGCTAATTATTAAGCTCCATTGTTAAAATGACTACCAAAAGATAGTATTTTGTAATTAACTTCCTAAAAGGTACCTTGTTCAATTGATACTCATCCCATTTGATTCCACTCTGATCAAAGCAAAACAAACACACAAACAGGATACAATTTTAATATGTTAATTCCATTCTTGTCTGCTCTGCTTGGACCTTGATTAACCAACTATCAAGAAGAAATGCTTTGAAGTGATATAATTAAAACAGTATAAAAAGCGGGACAGAACTACCAGCAAGGTGTGCACTCCAGGGAAGAACAAGAAGCCATCCTGCACCCAGCTCACAAGTGAAGGACCCACAGTCTGTGAAAGCTGTAAAGACAAGAACCATTTCCTGCCTGCTTGGGTAAAAATCTCTTGCAGCTAAAATAATAAAAAGACTGTAATAGCTCATTTATTGAATATTAAGAAAGAGTCTTTTTCCCCCTGTCATTT